AAGTTTGGCCAGAATAAATTGACAAAGAAAAACCAAGATTTTCGTGTCAGAGGGACGACTTTTCGTGAAGACAAGGAAAGGCAAGCACAGGACAGTTATGATGTCTTGTAACTTCCACGCTCTGCCTTTTAATTAACATCACACTTAACGTAGGACTTGCACCTTGCTGGCTTGCTGAGAATGGGAGCGAGAGGAGAATTGCAGCGTGAGAGGTAAGTTTGTCTTCACTGGTTACTTAGCTAAGCTGAGTAGAGGGAAGTAGTGTAGAAACAGTTCCACAGATTGTAAACAGTGTTTGTGCCTTCAATTTTGTATGTATGTGTGTGTGTGTGTTTTATCTCGCTTATTTGTCCTTCAGTTTACGTTTCTGTAAGCTAAAGTATCCTATCAAAGGTACTCTAATCCAATCTAATCTAAGCTAACGGAAGTTAGCTTACTCTAGAAAAAAAAATGACGTTGGGTACCTCTTTAAAAAAAATAACCTAGTAAAATGAGGGTAGGTTAGCACTTGTGCTCTGCTGTAGTTGGGGTGGTTGAGCACACATGACCTCCACAATACTCCCAGTGAGTCTGTAACCCTTGAAGTTTCCGTCCGTAAAAATCTCTCCAGGCACTAATTTTGAAGAGAATCCCTTCAGGTACTGTGGTGCTTGGTCTTGAAGAGTTCCAGACTCAGAATAGCTAATTCAAGTACAGCGAGGTTTTATCATGTTTCTGGTTAAAATGACCAAGTTGCTTCAAGTACTGGGCAGTGTAGTCGCATTTCGTGTTCAAAGTTTGAAGCTCCTCGAAGCACTTGGTTATCTTGTAGAGACAAACTCACTCAGGAACTTTGGGATCTTTTTGTCCCTCATATGCATAACAGCATTTCCTGTGCTGTCTCTTGACTTCATGAGAGCTGTTTACTTCATATTTGACACTAAAGACCTAAGAAGGTCATGGATTCAGTCTTCTGTGTGAGCCGTCCTTTGAATTTATCATGATTTTGTTATTTTGTAAAGATATCCATAACTGAACAGTAACAGCACTGTAGTCTTGCCTCAGAGTTCCATCTGTTGAGCGTTGCAGTCACTTAGGTTTCATTAGTTTAGGGCTTCATCAGCTAAAAGTTTCCTCAGCTGAAGATGCTATGAGAGTTCCGTCAGTTATTAGCAACAGGCTTTATCAGCTGAGCATTCCATGTTATTTTTTTACCATCTGAAGTTGTAGGTTGCAGGTGCTAAGAGTTCGATCCTTTAAAAGTTCAGGCAGTGTAGGATTCCGTCAGTGATGTTCCGCAGTTGAGGGTTTAGTAGTGTTAGGAAGTGAAGGTTGTATTTTGTGACTGGCGAGTCAACTGGTGTTACATCAAACGGCTACTTCATTTGTTGGTTCTGTCACTTGTGGTTCTGGTGGTTGCAGGTTCTGTTACTTGTGTCTTCGTTACAGGTTCTGTTTCTAGTGGTTCTGTTGGATGTAAGGGTTGCAGTACTCGTGGTTCTGAGTCGAGGTTCACATTTGCAGTTATGTAAGTTTGGATTCCCGTCAATTGTATTGAGGATTCAGTCACCTTCAGTCACCGGCTAGTGCCGTGGGTTAAAGATTCCATCACTTGTGGGTTGAGGGTTCGGACACTTGGGTTGAGGGTTCCGACACTCCTGGGTTGAGGGTTCAGACACTCTTGGGTTAAGGGTTCAGACACTCTGGGGTTGAAGGTTCCAACACTTTGAAGTCTTCCGTCACTGTTCTCATCACGCTCAGTGAGGCTGAGTACAGCTCAACAGAAGCCAGAAAATTTTTTTTGAAATTTCTCCAACCCATATTTTTTTTTTTTTTTTTTGGGGGGGGGGGGGCCTTGTGCCCGAGCTGGGAGTGTAGAAACATCAAAATTTCTCTTACGATGATAAAAAAAAAGGCTGGCGTTCTCGCACTACATTCATATTAATAAATTTTGGAAACAATTTTTCTTTTCTGGTTTAAGTTAAATATATTAATTATATATGACGTGGTAAGTGCTAAGATCAATATTTGTTGGGTTATTTTTTTGATTGATTTATCTTCATATCTCAAGTGGTCTTGATGTCCTACGTGAGTTAGTGAGTCAGTGACGTAGTGAGTTAGTGAGTCAGTGACGTACTGGGTCAGTGACGTAATTAGTGGGTCAGTGACGTAGTTAGTGGGTCAGTGACGTAATTAGTGGGTCAGTGACGTAATTAGTGGGTCAGTGACGTAGTAGGTCAGTGACGTAATTAGTGGGTCAGTGACGTAATTAGTGGGTTAGTGACGTAGTTAGTGGGTCAGTGACGTAATTAGTGGGTCAGTGACGTAATTAGTGGGTCAGTGACGTAGTAGGTCAGTGACGTAATTAGTGGGTCAGTGACGTAAGTTAGTGGGTTAGTGACGTATTAGTGGGCCAGTGACGTAATTAGTGGGTCAGTGACGTAATTAGTAAGTCAGTGACGTAGTGGGTCAGTGACGTAATTAGTGGGTCAGTGACATAATTAGTGGGTCAGTGACGTAATTAGTGGGTCGGTGACGTAATTAGTGGGTTAATGACGTAGTTACTGGGTCAGTGACGTAGTTAGTGGGTCAGTGACGTAATTAGTGGGTCAGTGACGTAGTGAGTCAGTGACGTAATTAGTGGGTCAGTGACGTAGTGGATCAGTGACGTAATTAGTGGGTCAGTGACGTAATTATTGGGTCAGTGACGTAGTTAGTGGGTCAGTGACATGATTAGTTGGTCAGTGACGTAGTTAGTGGATCAGTGACGTAATTAGTGGGTCAGTGACGTAATTAGTGGGCCAGTGACGTAATTAGTGGGTCAGTGATGTAGTGGGTCAGTGACGTAATTAGTGGGTCAGTGACATAATTAGTGGGTCAGTGACGTAATTATTGGGTCAGTGACGTAATTAGTGGGTCAGTGACGTAATTAGTGGGTCAGTGACGTAATTAGTGGGTCAGTGACATAATTAGTGGGTCAGTGACGTAATTAGTGGGTCAGTGACGTACTTAGTGGGTCAGTGACGTAATTAGTGGGTCAGTGACGTAATTAGTGGGTCAGTGACGCAGTTAGTGGGTCAGTGACGTAGTGGGTCACTGACGTAGTGAGTCAGTGAGTCCGTGACGTAGTGAGTTAGTGGGTCAATGGTGTAGAGAGTTAGTGTTTTGGTGAGTTATTGCACCAGTTAACTACACTTACACCATAATTACCACACCATAATTAACACAGAGATGCATTATAACTGCTAGGTCACAACACTATAAACAGAATACCACACAGTAACTAAAACACCATCACACCATAACTGCCACAACCATAACTACCACACCGCCACACTACAACCAACGCACCAAATTTCCTTGTTCGCATTTGAGTTTCCACGAATTTCGTGTCTCCAAGAGCGAGGCCGGATATTCTGTCCTGTTCATCATCTCCTCTTTATTCGAGTATGCATAAAATAACTACTTGCTCTCCTTTCCTCTCCCTCTCTCTTTCTCTCTCTCTGTGCCCTGCACATCGCTCTCATTCTCATACGAACGTAACATGTTCAAGGAGAATATACCAATGCAGTGTTCAAGCTTCATATATTCCCTATTATCTTCAGCAAACTTTCCCGTGAGGCCGCTAGCAGACGCTGAATATTCAAGAGCACCTCATTACTGCGCCCTTACATTCATCATCTGACATACACAATGCAATTTCTTAGAGCCTCTTTAAAACTGGGGCAAGATTCTTTAACGTCCGGACGCTCAAAGCAGAGAACATCCCCAGTCTTGCTTAAAGTTTCTTCAGTGGATCCAGCGATTTAATGATTTGAGTTACTTTAGTGAACTGTAAGTTACTTTAGCGGTGTTTATGTTACTTAAGTGGGGTTTGTGTTGGTGAAGTGGGCTTCCGCCTCGGCAATTTCCTGCTCTGGCGATAAACAGAGTGTGCTGCGGCGCTAATACTTAGGTAATGTTGCGAGCAGCCTTTCACAGAAGGCTGCATCAGCTGGTCTCAAGGGTCCAGCCAGCCAGTCAGACAGCGAGGCAGTCAGTGAGGCAGCCAGACAACCAGTTAGTCAGGCTGTAAGCTACCTACTGTATCAACGAACCAGTCAATCTGACAAGCATACCACTATGCTGGTTCCCACTTGCCAATTAAACACCAGTCGGCCACAACAGGCAGCAACACACACGTCAGCATATCAGGCACTCAGGAAGACGTTTAACCACTCAGTCGGTCATGTAGCCAGCTGGATATCCCAGCATGTGTTAAGCCAGCAGATACGAAAAGAAAAATAAGAGCCACAACACCATGGCTGAAACAATTCAAAACCAACCCATATTGTAAAGAATTTTTTTTAGACTATTTAAATTGTCTTTGACCATTATGAAAACGTTTCGGATAGTCTTGCACCATTTCTAAGACGGAAATACCAGAGGACAGACCGAGTTTTAATTTTGAAGTCAGTTACATGCCTCTTCAAGCACTGATTTTACCTATATAATTACCTACAAGTGGGCCCCACTTTACAGAGCTTCGCTTTATAGCGTTTCGCTAATGCAGCGGTTTTTAGTTATACCTATTCTTCATTTATTCAGAATTCCTACGGTAAATAAATTCACAGCTCACTATAAGCTAAGAACGAAAATATTTTAAGGTAAGTAATGCGTGAGCTATGTGCATATTTTAGGCCTGGAGGTTACCTGGAGGTTATTCCGGGAATCAACGCCCCCGCGGCCCGGTCCATGACCAGGCCTCCCGATGGATCAGGGCTTGATCAACTAGGCCTAGCTCTATTGTTTAATATATGATAGTGTAAATATGCTACCACGCTTTCATATGCATTTGAAAGGGGGAAAAAAGCTACGCTTCACTTTACTGCAGTAGCCCAGAACCTAACCTGCTGTATAAGCGGGGCCCGCCGGTATATGGCTCCATCTAGACCTGCTGGTACTTAAATAATCAGCAGTATGGCTGCCTCACTCAGGTTGTATATATGAATACTCTGGCATAAGCCTCTGGAAGCTTGTACCTGGACAGTATGGACAGTGATGGTCTTGGCGGCGGGAGCCATGGGATTGTCGTTGAGGTCAGCGACATGGAGGGTGAGTGTGACAGTAGCAGTGAGGGGCGGCGACCCGTCGTCCCCTACTACCAGCGGCACCAGCAGGGCACGTCGTTCTTCTCGGTCCAGCGGCGCCGTCGTCGATACCACTCCCAGACCGCGTCCCTCGTCGCCTCCTGCAGGCAGTGACACCACCAGAGACACAAGATAATAAACAAAACACACACACATCAATCTACAATCAGCTTTCTTTTAAGGTATTCTATTTAGAGCGATTTTTTTTTGCAAATGCAGTTAAATACTACGTCCAAACTTAAGGTACAGGTTATACAAAGACGTTCTCACGTGCTGTTAAACTCTGGATGTTCTTTTTCAATTGCATTTATTAAAAAAAATGCACTATATAGAGAAGGTCTGTAAAAGAACTGAGTGTATGTCCAAAACACAAGCCAACAGCTGTACCACTGTGCTATGAGATTATATAGCATGACACATAATGCTATGTTGGATCAGTCCATCGTGGCCGATGGAATGAACGCGTCATCTTCACCCTGAGGGACTGACTACCTCAAACTCCCTCTTTTCACTTCTTCCATTGTCTCTGTCGTTAACAGATAAAGTCAGTGGTTGGCGAAACGTTTCCATAATAAAGCTACCCAAGTGATGCACATGTCTCTCCTTCATCTACATAATGTAGACTGAGATGCTAGCACAGCGACGGACTACGACTCTATACAAGTGTTTTCCCCCACAGTGATCTCTCATCACCTCACAGACGGTGGTACATTACATAACTCTCTGACCAGTGTTAGGGTCTGCTAGTAAAACATACTTAATTGGGTTTAAAGACTATCGACTGCATGAAAGGTCATTAAGTATGCGCGCAACTTTTTCACCACCAGACGGGAATACTTTAATCCCTAAAACAGGGATTAAAGTAAACTCCCAGTGCATATATATACGCTGAGATATATACGCCTCTTGGCCTACAGATCCTCAGGAGTGCTTGGAGTCTTCTGCTGTCTCCTGAGCTATTTACTCTCCTCAATAGTGATTACATAATTAATATCCTGGTTTGCTAATTTCCCTTCTTGCCGTTTCTCCTGATACTGAATGGCTCTTTGCCAGGGAACTGGAGCTATCCTCATCCTCCTCGGATCAGTCCTGATTGCCTCTCATTTACTACAAGCTTAATGACCCTTACGGGTTTAGTGCTTACCCGTGAATAATAAAAATGATAATAATAAAAATAATTAACAATTATAAAAGCAATCGGTCTTTAGTGTTATCTTGCTTCAGCAGAGGTTATCTAGAAGTCTAGAGTTATCTTGCTTCATTGAGGTTATCTAGAAGTCTAGAGTTATCTTGCTTCAGTTGAGGTTATCTAGAAGTCTAGAGTCATCTTGCTTCAGTTGAGGTTATCTAGAAGTCTAGAGTTATCGTGCTTCAATTGAGGTTATCTAGAAGTCTAGAGTCATCTTGGTTCAGTTGAGGTTATCTAGAAGTCTAGAGTTATCTTGCTTCAGTTGAGGTTATCTAGAAGTCTAGAGTTATCTTGCTTCAGTTGAGGTCATCTAGAAGCCTAGAGTTATCTTGCTTCAGTTGAGGTTATCTAGAAGTCTAGAGTTATCTTGCTTCAGTTGAGGTTATCTAGAAGTCTAGAGTCATCTTGCTTCAGTTGAGGTTATCTAGAAGTCTAGAGTTATCTTGCTTCAGTTAAGGTTATCTAGAAGTCTAGAGTATCTTGGCTTCAGTTGAGGTTATCTAGAAGTCTAGAGTTATCTTGCTTCAGTTGAGGTTATCTAGAAGTCTAAAGTCATCTTGCTTCAGTTGAGGTTATCTAGAAGTCTAGAGTTATCTTGCTTCAGTTGAGGTTATCTAGAAGTCTAGAGTCATCTTGCTTCAGTTGAGGTTATCTAGAAGTCTAGAGTTATCTTGCTTCAGTTGAGGTTATCTAGAAGTCTACAGTTATCTTGCTTCAGTTAAGGTTATCTAGAAGTCTAGAGTCATCTCATTTCAGTTGAGGTTATCTAGAAGTCTAGAGTTATCTTGCTTCAGTTGAGGTTATCTAGAAGTCTAGAGTCATCTTGCTTCAGTTGAGGTTATCTAGAAGTCTAGAGTTATCTTGCTTCAATTGAGGTTATCTAGAAGTCTAGAGTTATCGTGCTTCAATTGAGGTTATCTAGAAGTCTAGAGTCATTTTGGTTCAGTTGAGGTTATCTAGATGTCTAGAGTTATCTTGCTTCAGTTGAGGTTATCTAGAAGTCTAGAGTCATCTTGCTTCAGTTGAGGTTATCTAGAAGTCTAGAGTCATCTTGCTTCAGTTGAGGCTATCTAGAAATCTAAAGTCATCTTGCTTCAGTTGAGGTTATCTAGAAGTCTAGAGTTATCTTGCTTCAGCAGAGGTTATCTAGAAGTCCAGAGTCATCTTGCTTCAGTTGAGGTTATCTAGAAGTCTAAAGTCATCTTGCTTCAGTTGAGGTTATCTAGAAGTCTAGAGTCATCTTACTTCAGTTGAGGTTATCTAGAAGTCTAGAGTTATCTTGCTTCAATTGAGGTTATCTAGAAGTCTAGAGTTATCGTGCTTCAATTGAGGTTATCTAGAAGTCTAGAGTCATCTTGGTTCAGTTGAGGTTATCTAGAAGTCTAGAGTTATCTTGCTTCAGTTGAGGTTATCTAGAAGTCTAGAGTTATCTTGCTTCAGTTGAGGTTATCTAGAAGTCTAGAGTTATCTTGCTTCAGTTGAGGTTATCTAGAAGTCTAGAGTCATCTTGCTTCAGTTGAGGCTATCTAGAAGTCTAAAGTCATCTAGCTTCAGTTGAGGTTATCTAGAAGTCTAGAGTTATCTTGCTTCAGCAGAGGTTATCTAGAAGTCCAGAGTCATCTTGCTTCAGTTGAGGTTATCTAGAAGTCTAAAGTCATCTTGCTTCAGTTGAGGTTATCTAGAAGTCTAGAGTCATCTTACTTCAGTTGAGGTTATCTAGAAGTCTAGAGTTATGGTGCTTCAATTGAGGTTATCTAGAAGTCTAGAGTCATCTTGCTTCAGTTGAGCTTATCTAGAAGTCTAGAGTTATCTTGCTTCAGCAGACGTTATCTAGAAGTCCAGAGTCATCTTGCTTCAGTTGAGGTTATCTAGAAGTCTAGAGTCATCTTGCTTCAGTTGAGGTTATCTAGAAGTCTAGAGTCATCTTGCTTCAGTTGAGGTTATCTAGAAGTCTAAAGTTATCTTGCTTCAATTGAGGTTATCTAGAAGTCTAGAGTCATCTTGCTTCAGCAGAGGTTATCTAGAAGTCTAGAGTCATCTTGCTTCAGTTGAGGTTATCTAGAAGTCTAGAGTTATCTTGCTTCAGTTGAGGTTTATATAGAAGTTCTAGAGTCAATCTTGCTTCAGTTGAGGTTATCTAGAAGTCTAGAGTCATCTTGCTTCAGTTGAGGTTATCTAGAAGTCTAGAGTCATCTTGCTTCAGTTGAGGTTATATAGAAGTCTAGAGTCATCTTGCTTCAGTTGAGGTTATCTAGAAGTCTAGAGTCATCTTGCTTCAGTTGAGGTTATCTAGAAGTCTAGTTTTTCATTCCTCTTTAGGTGGTGTTCTTACAATGGCAGTCCGCCACTCTCCTCATCCTTGCACATTCCTTCATGTCTCCTCTACAGTCTCCTATATTGTCATACATCCTGTGTTTTATGTATCTTTTCTACCATCGAGTGCTTCTTCTGTGTGTGTGTGTGTGTGTGTGTGTGTGTGTGTGTGTGTGTTGTGTGTGTGTGTGTGTGTGTGTGTGTGTGAAGTAGTGTTTGCCTGAGTGTGTTTACTTATATTCTTCTAATGTATTTACAGTTAGAGAAATAGAGCTCTCTGTGATCATTTACAATGTAAATATTCAGTGAAATTACTGGAAAAGGCTGGACTGAACTTTCTCCAAAAAACACAGATAATCTGAAACAATCTGTATATTGAAAAAAAGGACACAATTACACCATTTCATTTAAATAAAAATTAATCGTAAATCAAATTAAAAAAAGTGCCACTGCATTATGCCAAATTATGCAAACGAACGTGATCAGATTGCAATTTAACGGGTGGTAGATCACGCAAGAGGCAGGAATATTTTTATAGCCTGTTTGTATATGCTATGTGAGTTTCAAAACATTTTGAGCCTAGCATACACATGAAAAATATATTGTTTACTTAAAAATATTTTTTTTCCCTCCATAGTGATATGATTTATATGTTTGCTGGAATATCTTTATAACTTTTGTATGTTATCTGTTCAAGATATCAGCAACTTTCTTTAGTTCATCCTGAAACGACTAGCGGTCGTAGGAGCTTTCACTGTGAGAGTGAAGAACAGTACTTATATCAAGATCTTCAAGGTAGTGAAGAACAGTAAAGACGAGATCAAGATCTTCAAGGTAACTTTCTTTGGCAGTATTCTTTGGAATGTTTTGCAATGTGTGTTAATGCATTCCTTTACATTAAGCAGATAATGTGTTCCAAATAGTAATTACTTTTAGGATACACAAACGTAATTTTCAGGTGTTACTGTCTGCTTTTTTTTCTTTCTTCATATGTTCGAAGTATTAATGTGTAGTATTAAACTTTTGGGAACTCCGAATATGCGAAGAGTTTTACCTTGAAACATTTTTGGTTGGAGAGAACTTAGATATTTGTAGTGCAGTGACAGCTGTGGACTAATCATATTCGAGTTCTACTTAAACTGCTATTGCTGCTTCTACTGTTACTTCTACTATGATTTCTGTTACTATTAATAATATTAATACTGCGATTTCTGTTACTATTAATATTACTAATTCTGTTAGAGATCTCTTCACCGGTACAGAACTCGCCTCTTCAGTACAGTATGTACCTTCAACAGTCGTGATTACCCTCAGTTCGCCTATGGTAGTCTCCGGGTACCTACCTTCCCTCCACCAACTTTGCACATTCCAAAACGTCTGTGAAAGATTGTTGTCACCGGGTGTCACTAGCGAAATAAATTCTATCCAGTCTTTGAAACAGCTAGGTAGTGCCCTTATAACGCCCTTTATTACAATCTTTGCACTTTTCTTCATTCTCCGAAGTCGCAGGGCGAGTCTCCCTCAAGACACTTCCAACCCGGAAATAAACTCACGGAATAATAAGCGTCAGCAACACGGTTGGAACTAATTACAACTAACCCACATATTAAAAAAAAGGTCAGTTTTTCGGTCACTTCATTGCCTTTGTCAAGTGGCAAGTTAGTTGACCATGAATTTTCCAAGGTATTGTAGTAACAAAAAAACGGTAGTATTAATAGTAGCAGTAGTAATAGTAGTAGTAGGAATCGTAGTAGTAGTAACAGTAGTAGTATTATTAGTCGTTATGGGGAGCACTAAACCTGTAGGGATTATCAGCGCCTGTGGGGAGGGAGGGAAGGGAGAGGGGAGGAAGGCATTCAGGCTTAATTCAGGGAACCGGAGCACAGATCCATTTCCCTAGATCAAGAGCCCCTCACCAGCATCAAGGAACCTCCCTTGAGGTAACAATAGTGTTTTAAGTAGAACTAGAATATAATTAAGTCCACAGAGACTCGATATCAACACCACACGTAATCCTCTCCAATGTACGTATTCCTCTCCAATGTACGTAATGCTCTCCAATGTACGTAATTCCTCTCCAATGTACGTAATGCTCTCCAATGTACGTAATGCTCTCCAATGTACGTAATCCTCTCCAATGTACGTATTCCTCTCCAATGTACGTATTCCTCTTCAATGTACGTATTCCTCTCCAATGTATGTATTCCTCTCCAATGTACGTAATCCTCTCCAATGTACGTATTCCTTTCCAATGTACGTATTCTCTCCAATGTACGTATTGCTCTCCAATGTACGTATTCTCTCCAATGTACGTATCTCCTCCAATGTACGTAATTCCTTCCAATGTACGTAATGCTCTCCAATGTACGTATTCCTCTCCAATGTACGTATTCCTCTCCAATGTACGTATCCTTCCAATGTACGTATTCCTCTCCAATGTACGTATTCCTCTCTAATGTACGTATTCCTCTCTAATGTACGTATTCCTCTCCAATGTACTTATTCCTCTCCAATGTAGCGTATTCCTCTCCAATGTACGTATTCCTCTCCAATGTACGTATTCCTCTCCAATGTACGTTTTCCTCTCCAATGTACGTATTCCTCTCTAATGTACGTATTCCTCTCCAATGTATGTATTCCTCTCCAATATACGTATTCCTCTCCAATGTACGTATTCCTCTCCAATGTACGTATTCCTTCCAATGTACGTTTCCTCTCTCAATTACGTATTCCTCTCTATGTAGTATTCCTCCATGTAGTATTCCTCTCCAATGTACGTATTCCTCTCCAATGTACGTATTCCTCTCCAATGTACGTATTCCTCTCCTCTTACCTGTCATAAATCCCACATTAAATCCCACATGTGAAGTACAATAGGAAGCACCGTACTCACTTTTGTCGAACTTGACTTGAATAGCAGCTCGTATGTGTGGTGGAGCCCTGGGGTCGAGGCTGATGGTGAAGGGTGGTCCGTGGCCCCTCTGCCAGTCGTCAGGGTCGCCTAGTCTGACCCTGGCCACCACCTGCGGAGGGGCGTTCTCCACCACCTGCACCTCCCGCGGCTCCGCCAGGAACGGCGGGTTGTCGTTCACGTCTGTTATATTCACCTGTCGGCAGGGAGGGGGGGGGGAGATGTGGTGGCGGATTTTGATGTGTTGTTATGCATGTAAATCTATTTTTCATTTGTATATATTTTATTCATTCGTATATCCGTTATTCGTTTGTATATCTGTTATTAATTTGTATATTTGTTATTTATTTGTATATATTTTATCAATTTGTATATCTGTTATTCACTAGCCCTTGTGGTTTAGCGCTTCTTTTTAATTATAATAATAATGTTATTCATTTATATATCCATTATTCATTATATATATATTCAGTATATCTTTTATTAATTTGTATATCTGTTATTCATTTGTACATGTATTATTCATTTGCATATCTGGTGATTCCTTCCCTCTTTCTCTCCTTTACTTCCTCACCTCACACCGTGTGTTGGTTGGTCACTTTCCACTCACCGTGAGGGTGGCTGTAGCTGTCCTGGGCGTCGCACCGTCGTCCACCGCCCACACCAGCAGCGTGTGGGCGGGGTTGGTCTCGCGGTCCAGTCCGCCCACCAGCACCACCCCGCCCGTGCCGTCCACGTGGAACAACCCGCCAGGGTCGCTGGCCGGGGCGATGGTGTAGTTCACTCTGCTTTCTCCTCCCTGACGGGAGAGGGAGGGGGGAGGGGAGGGGAGAGGGGGAGTGAGGGAGGATTGGAGGGGAAGGGGAAGGGGAAGGGGAAGGAAAGGGTGGAGAAAAGTAAGTTTCTGGCGTAAACCTTATGGTTACTCTGTGTGTGTGTGGGGGGGGGGGTTGAATGTCGGTGCGATTACCTATTACACACACACACCAGTCCCACAACATACAAGGAATGTTGTGGTGTTATGGTATGGTGGTATTGTGTGGTGTTATGGTATGATGTTGTGTGGTGTTTATGGTATGGTGTTATTGTGTGGTGTTGTGTGGTGTTTATGGTAAGGTGTTATTGTGTGGTGTTGTGTGGTGTTTATGGTATGGTGTTATTGTGTGGTGTTGTGTGGTGTTTATAGTAAGGTGTTATTGTGTGGTGTTGTGTGGTGTTTATGGTATGGTGTTTTGTGTGGTGTTGTGTGGTGTTTATGGTAAGGTGTTATTGTGTGGTGTTGTGTGGTGTTTATGGTAAGGTGTTATTGTGTGGTTTGTGTGGTGTTTATAGTAAGGTGTTATTGTGTGGTGTTGTGTGGTGTTTATGGTATGGTGTTATTGTGTGGTGTTGTGTGGTGTTTAAGGTAAGGTGTTATTGTGTGGTGTTGTGTGGTGTTTATGGTAAGGTGTTATTGTGTGGTGTTGTGTGGTGTTTATGGTATGGTGTTATTGTGTGGTGTGTGGGTGTTTATGGTATGGTGTTATTGTGTGGTGTTGTGTGGTGTTTATAGTAAGGTGTTATTGTGTGGTGTTGTGTGGTGTTTATGGTAAGGTGTTATTGTGTGGTGTTTATGGTATGGTGTTATTGTGTGGTGTTGTGTGGTGTTTATGGTAAGGTGTTATTGTGTGGTGTTGTGTGGTGTTTATGGTATGGTGTTATTGTGTGGTGTTGTGTGGTGTTTATGGTATGGTGTTATTGTGTGGTGTTGTGTGGTGTTTATGGTAAGGTGTTATTGTGTGTTGTGTGGTGTTGTGTGGCTGTTTATGGTATGGTGTTATTGTGTGGTGTTGTGTGGTGTTTATGGTAAGGTGTTATTGTGTGGTGTTTTGTGGTGTTTATGGTATGGTGTTATTGTGTGGTGTTGTGTGGTGTTTATGGTAAGGTGTTATTGTGTGGTGTTGTGTGGTGTTTATGGTATGGTGTTATTGTGTGGTGTGTGGTGTTTATGGTATGGTGTTATTGTGTGGTGTGTGGTGTTTATGGTATGGTGTTATTGTGGTGTTATGGTGTCACTACATTTTCGGAATTTCACTCTACAACAGTTAACAGAAGAGCTAAAGCTACTTTATAGACATATAAGTAACAAGGTAAACTCGATGTTATAACAACGTCTGTCTCACTAATAAGTTCTCTTGCTTAACAAAACCAAAAATCACATTATTTAGAAATATATAAAGTAGATGTACTGGAAGGCCAAAAATATTAACTATTTAATAGTTTAACCTCATTTAGCAAAATCTTCTTCATATTACGATGATAACCAGAGAAATTATTAATAAAAGGAAAGAGATATTTACTGTGAACTTCAAATAGAATTTCTCATTAAATACTTCTTAAGCTGGCAGAAAATAGAGAATTGATGAAGTTCTTGGTGGACGAAACGTCTTCTCAATGTCATAAAGCGCATCCTATTATAATATAACCCAGGCAAATGCAAAGTTAAGAAAACCGAAAAAGGGGTAAAGAAGACCGGGAACAGAGTACAGACTGGAAATTTCTCTCAAGGAGGTTCTTGGGGTGAGCGTAGCTCTGAAGATATGACCGTGTCTTATTAGCACTTCTCGGTGTATAATACCAGTGATGTACGCTACGATAACACAGTGAACGGCTGGGTAAACTGTTACACTAGACGATGTGTAGGTTTTTCAGTGAAGAAAAATGTGAGCATTGATATGAAGGAAAAATATCGCTTGTTTATTGTTGCTAGAGGGATCCTTTGAAGGATGACTGGAGGAACTCTTTGAAGGATCACTAGAGGAGTCCTTTGAAGGATGACTGGAAGAACTCTTTGAAGGATCACTAGAAGAGTCCTTTGAAGGATGACTGGAAGAACTCCTTGAAGGATCACTAGAAGAGTCCTTTGAAGGATGACTGGAGGAACTCTTTGAAGGATCACTAGAGGAGTCCTTTGAAGGATGACTGGAGAAACTCTTTGAAGGATCACTAGAGGAGTCCTTTGAAGGATGACTGGAAGAACTCTTTGAAGGATCACTAGAAGAGTCCTTTGAAGGATGACTGGAAGAACTCCTTGAAGGATCACTAGAAGAGTCCTTTGAAGGATGACTGGAGGAACTCTTTGAAGGATCACTAGAGGAGTCCTTTGAAGGATGACTGGAAGAACTCTTTGAAGGATCACTAGAGGAGTCCTTTGAAGGATGACTGGAAGAACTCCTTGAAGGATCACTAGAAGAGTCCTTTCGAAGGATGACTGGAGGAACTCTTTGAAGGATCACTAGAGGAGTCCTTTGAAGGATGACTGGAAGAACTCTTTGAAGGATCACTAGAGGAGTCCTTTGAAGGATGACTGGAAGAACTCCTTGAAGGATCACTAGAAGAGTCCTTTGAAGGATGACTGGAGGAACTCTTTGAAGGATCACTAGAAGAGTCCTTTGAAGGATGACTGGAGGAACTCTTTGAAGGATCACTAGAGGAGTCCTTTGAAGGATGACTGGAGAAACTCTTTGAAGGGTCACTAGAGGAGTCCTTTGAAGGATGACTGGAAGAACTCTTTGAAGGATCACTAGAAGAGTCCTTTGAAGGATGACTGGAGGAACTCTTTGAAGGATCACTAGAGGAGTCCTTTGAAGGATGACTGAAGGAACCCTCTGAAGGATCATTAGGCTATTTTGGAGGATGGCAGGAGGAAACTTTTGAAGGATCATTGCAGGAATCCTTGAAGGATCATTACAGAAATCCTTAAAAGGATCATTACAGGAATCCTCGAAGGATCATTACAGGAATCCTTGAAGGATTATTACAGAAATCCTTAAAGGATCATTACAGGAATCCTTGAAGGATCATTACAGGAATCCTTGAAGGATCATTTCAGGAATCCTTAAAGGATCATTACAGGAATCCTTGAAGGATCAGTTTTTGCCTCTATAAAGCTCTGAGCGGACAAATATCTTGCCCAACGGAATAATTCATTGTACAGAATACATACGCAGCTGAAAAAAAATATTACTCAGACTTCCACATCAAACTGACTAAAATAGTGTGAGATTATATGAATTAATTGATCAAATGGAATGACAAATGGGTGATGGAATTTATGCCACGTAATGGAAATGGATGAAAATGAAAACAAGCCTTATAAGACACAGACTCTTTGGTAAATTATTGAGAGTCTACATTAAAGAAGACAGAATATCAAGAGTCTCCATTAAAGAAGACGGCACTACGAGCCTAAATTAAGCAGATTGCTCATATAATATCAAACATATAATTGCAAACAATATCTCCTGGTAATGTTGCAGCTGCCAGATATATAACAGACCTGTTACACGGCACACACACACAGGGCCAGGAGCTATGAATCGACCCCTGCAGCCACAAATAGGTGAGTACACACACACACACACACACACACGAGGGGGGGGGGTCACAACTTCGATGAAATAAAACAGGAGGAGGAACAAATGATTGAAGGCATCATGAAAACAATAGGTGAGGACGATATGACCCAGGTAACAAATTTTCGGAGAAGCGCGCGGTTTGCGAGTGGAAGTATACGGCCTGTCAAAGTAATTTTCAAGGAAGGATCAGTTCGAACCAGGATTCTGCAAGAGAAAGCTCGTCTGAAGGACAAACAGGGGTACCGTAGAGTATACCTCGATCGCGACAGAACACAAGAAGAAAGGACTACACTGAAAGAGAGGGTACAGAGACGCAAGGAGGAACGAGAGGCAATGATGAAGATGAGCAGGACCCAGACACAGGAGGAAGGGCAAACACACACCGCCGAATCTCCCACCGAAAGACTCCAACCGGGACAATTCCAACGCAACTGAGCAACCCAAACCACAACCCACTCACTGTTCCCTCTTTCAGCAACACCCACATCACAAATCTCATCTCAACAGCTTTCCCTTATGGACATTCTGACCCCACCCCCATCATCACAAACCCTACCTACACCACAGCCCCCCATAGGCCCCCACCAAGGCTCCCACTCCCCCAACCCCAATATTCTTGCAGTACCACAGTGACAGAAAAGAAGCTGAAAGTTTGGTACACAAACGCGGACTGAATAACGAATAAACATGAGGAGTGGCACGAAAGAATCAGTGAGAAATCCCCAGACATCATAGCAGTCACAGAAACAAAACTCCCTGAGACAATAGCAGATGCAATCTTCCCACCGGGATATCAGATCCTGAGAAAAGATAGAAGGAGTAGAGGGGGAGGAGGAGTTGCACTACTCATAAGAAACCGATGGGGATTTGAGGAAATGGAAGGCATGGACGTGATTGGAGAAAGAGACTACATAGTAGGTACAATTCAATCTGGAGAACATAAAGTAGTCATTGGAGTGATGTATAACCCACCACAGAACTGCAGGAGGCCAAGAGAGGAGTACGAAGAAAACAACAGGGCGATGGTGGACACACTGGCTGAGGTGGCAAGAAGAGCTCACTCGAGCAGAGCAAAGTTACACTGGA